TCTGGCTTCCGATCCAATTATATCTTCCAAAACCCGACTAGATCTTCCAAAATTCAGAGACAGCTGATCGAGATATAATTGATAGATTCCTCCATAAATTCACTCACCCACTCTACATTACCTTAAACCCTTGGATCCTCTAGTTAAAGTCCTGCACACATAATATAAATAATATCGAAATATACTATATATATACACACACAACACAAGGTCCAAAGAAATTCACGGGTATACAAAAATCTTAATAATATGATTTTTTTTGTGAGCGAATGTATGACGGACTTACAACTATCCCAAAAATATAATTCACTTCATAAAATTTTAAATAAATAAAAATTCAAACAATTGGACTACACGAACAAATTATTTTAAAAGACGTGATATACTAATACTACATATGAATTTGCGCATGATTATGGAAAAAATTAATTATAAAATATTAATATCATTTTAATAGATAATAGGTGAACTTCATGAAATGCATAATTAAGAATACAACAAATCATACAATCCGACCATATATATTGTCGATGAAATTAATTAACGAAAAAATATTTTAGCTGGCGTCATGGATTACTTATTCAAGTACAAACAAATAAAGAAAAATAGTTCATATTGTTTAATGATATAATATTACGTGTTTACAATCATTTAAGCAAGTAAAAAAGAATTCATTTTCTCACTATTCACGATTTTGTGGTATCCCGTGATAGAATGACGAGACATTTTTTTTTATCATTTAAAAATTGCAAATTGGCATATGGCACCGATCCATAATATGAACCATTGTATACAAAATGTAATAATATATTTGAAATGTTTATATAAAGGATCACACGTTGTAGCATTTCTCACCACCTCTATAAACCTAAAAACCCTTTTATTGGTTTCTCTAAAAGTGGCCATGGGTATTCACAGACCAAGCCTTCACACTATTCTCTCCGTTTCACTTATCCTCTTCGCTAGTCTTCTTCCTTCTTCTTACTCTTGTGACTGTGACACTCCAAAACCACCAAACCACCCTTCAAAACCGCCTAAACCCCCCGCCGTGAAACCGCCTCACATTCCCAAACACACCACCGTCAAACCACCGCCCCATCCAAAACCGCCACCCACCCCCAAGCCTCCCACCGTTAAACCGCCTCCTCCTTACGTCCCAAAACCACCCACCGCCAAGCCTCCTCCTCCTCCGCCCCCACCATACGTCAAGCCACCGAGTCCGAAGCCCCCAACGCCAAAACCGCCGACGCCGGAGACGCCATGCCCTCCACCGCCATATGTCAAACCACCAACTCCGACGCCGCCAACGCCGACGCCGAAACCGCCAACGCCTCTGACGCCATATGACGCCATTCCCACCGCCGCCGCCGCCATACGTCAAACCACCAGCTCCAACGCCGCCAACTCCTGTGACGCCATTCCCACCGCCGCCGCCGCCATACGTCAAGCCACCAAGTCCAACGCCGCCAACGCCGACTCCGGGGACGCCATGTCCTCCACCGCCGCCGAAAACGCCGAAGCCGGAGACATGTCCGATCGACACGTTGAAGCTGGGAGCTTGCGTGGACGTGCTGGGTCTGATACACTTGGGGCTGGGGAAAAGCCGTGCGAAAGAAGCGTGTTGTCCTGTTTTGGGAGGTCTGCTGAATATTGACGCGGCGGTTTGTCTCTGCACCACCATTAAAGCCCAGATTTTGAACATTAACGTCATTATTCCCATTGCCCTCGAGGTTCTCATCGGCTGTGGCAAAGCCCCACCTCCCGGGTTTCAGTGCGCTGCTTGAAGCTAGGAGTCTCTGACTGAATCAGAGGGTTCGGACGTGGAGATTAATTTGTATGACGTCATTGATCTCTTTGGTTAGGAATCCGTCCGTGTGTTTGTTTTGTTCGTGGCACAATAAAAAGGAAGTGTTTGGGTTTGAGAAACACGTGGGTTTCATAATTTATAATTTCGAAAAAAAAATGTGTACAAGAATATAAAATTCTATATCTTCAATATAATGATTGTCAATATATATACACATTCATTGTCTTTTTTTTTTTTTTTGTATCTTGAAAACTCTTTATACTCAAATACGTATATACGCATCGGTATCCCAGTGCCATACGGTTAGAATTAAAGAGCAACGGGCTTTGGGCTTATTGTTGGGCTTCTCACATTGGGCCCAATGTAATGGAAAATGGGAAAATAGCCATAAAACGGTTTTCTTTTTTACTTTTTAATTTATCATTTTTCTTGTCGGACAAGTTCTCACTTCTCAGGTTCCGTTCTATCGAGCTGGAAAACTCGGTGGAAATCCGAGAAGCGAGAAGCTGAGGAGAAGAGTGGTGATCCTGTGTTCAGGTAGCATGGTCGCTGTTTGGTTTTTGGTGGAATCCGTTTCTATCTTATTGTTCATAACCTTTTCGGAATTTGATCTTTTGCGATGATTTTTGAGTTACTGGATCTGTTTGTTCTAAAATCGTTCCTTCGAATTCTGGGAAAAAACGTCCGGTTGTGTTCATGTACTGATTTTTTGGCAGTGAAGATGAACCCCGGGTGGTTGTAATTTCTGCGATTTTTGGGCCTTGCGGTATAGTCTTTTTTATCGAATATGGCTTCTGTGTCGTGAGATCCATCTGCTTCTTCTATATGTCGCCGCTCACGCCTCTCTCTCTCTCTCCTTGACATTGGAATGCAATTTCAAGCTGGGTTTCATACTAACTTTGCTGTTTTGTTGTTCTTTTTTACCAAGACTTATCTGGGGTTTGACTTAAAATTGTTCATGGGTTCGGTGTTTAGTACCTTACGAATGGTTGCGTCGTTTAAGGCGTTGAGAAGAAAACGGTTTGTGACTTAGTATTTATGGTCACCACTAAGAACTCCAAAGCAAGATAGATAGCCGTAGATGAAGTATGCTTCCAGTTTTCTGTGGGAAAAAGGCGTTGTTTTGTGTTTGGATTGTGAAGCAATGATTTTAGTATATGTTTTATTCCCGTTGTTCGCCCTTCACCTTTCATCTTCAAGGAGAGCAAGAGGGGCGTGAAATCCTATCCGTGAGGGAATTTTGAACTTCTGACAGTGTTTTGATTTGAGGCTTCCTTCCTCGGTGATTCTTGTGATATAGGGAATTAGCAATTCTCGCGGTTTTGAAGTTTGGTTTTAGAGGGTTATATTGTGGGTGCTTTTTACAATTTGGTTATATTGCACCCTCTTCAAACTTCTGGTTGTTTTGATGTTGTGTTTACAAGGTAAAATGAGTGATTGTATAGCGAAACTCCATTGCAGTTCGACCTTTTAAGCAATTGGGTTCTTGTCATTACACGACCAGTGATCTTAGAATGCATAGTGATAGGCAAATCTTTCTCCTTCTGCTTACATTGTGTGGGCATTTCTTTCCTTTGGTGCAGTTGTAGAAAATGTCTCGGAGATATGATAGTCGTACCACGATATTCTCACCGGAAGGTCGTCTCTACCAAGTAGAGTATGCGATGGAGGCAATCGGGAATGCTGGTTCTGCGATCGGAATCTTAACGAAAGATGGCGTCATCTTGGTCGGTGAGAAGAAAGTCACCTCCAAACTTCTGCAAACCTCAACTTCCACAGAGAAGATGTACAAGATTGATGACCACGTGGCCTGTGCCGTGGCTGGGATCATGTCCGATGCCAACATTCTGATCAACACGGCACGAGTCCAAGCCCAGAGATACACCTACATGTACCAAGAGCCAATGCCGGTTGAGCAGCTGGTCCAGTCTCTCTGTGACACAAAACAAGGGTATACCCAGTTCGGTGGTCTCCGCCCGTTTGGTGTTTCTTTTCTATTTGCGGGTTGGGACAAGAATTACGGGTTCCAACTGTACATGAGTGACCCGAGCGGAAACTATGGTGGATGGAAAGCTGCAGCCATTGGAGCAAACAACCAAGCAGCTCAGTCTATTCTGAAACAAGATTACAAGGATGAGATAACGAGGGAAGAGGGCGTCGAGCTCGCGTTGAAGGTCCTAAGCAAGACAATGGACAGCACGAGTTTGACGTCTGAGAAGCTCGAACTGGCTGAGGTGTTTCAGACACCGTCCGGAAGTGTCAAGTACCATGTTCACTCGCCCGAGTCACTCACTAAGCTGTTGGTGAAACATGGCGTGACTCAGCCCGCTACCGAGTCATCCTGAGTCGCGCCCTAGTTGTCTGGCATTTTTACGCACTTTTGTGTTAGTGATTCTCCACTTTATTGTATCTTGTTCTGATTTTGGCGATATGGGGATCGTTTGTCATTCAGATTCTCTGATGATCTTTAATTGTGGTGAAAACTTCTTCTGTTTGGTTGAATTTCTCTTTTAATTAACTCTTCAGGGTTTAAAGAGTTTATAGGAAAGGTTAATCCCTTTGATGATGTGAAAAATCTATCTATTAGTAGAATATCCGGTTTAGTCACTAATCATGTAAACCAAACTAATCCAGACTAAACCGGATTCTAAACCAAACATGATTTTCTAATTTTCTGAAACTATGTTTTGTGTTCTTTGGTCGACTTCTTTTAATACATTACTTGAATATTACATTTTAGATAAAAACAAAATACGTTTACGTAACAAAAGGGAAGAAAGAATCGAAAAATACTTCTTCAGTGCTCTTTCTGTACAAAATATGTTTACGCAAACAAACCTGAGTTCCATGAAATGAAACAATCAAGAACAGAGCTTTGGAAGCGATCTTGGGTTTCCTCTAATGGCACTTCTGGATCTCTTCTTGATAATTTCCATCTGATTCTGCATTTTCCGACAAGCTCTCTCCAGTTCCATCACTCTCCATTGAATCCCTTGTAAATGTTCCTTCAGCTTCTCGTTCTCGTCGGAAATCTCCACCTTTTCTATCCGGAGGATGATTTGTTCGTCCTGTGAGCGACCTGCAAACGTTTCTAGCTTCGGTTTCTGAAGTATATACGCTTCAGCTGGGTGGAACTTTGCATTTCGTGAAATATTTGTTCCGGATTCGCCCGAGAGCTTCGTGTAGCTCAACGTTCGGAAAATATCGAGCTTTTCGCCTTCGGTTAACCCTGTGTGAGCCTGAGAAAGTGTGAATCATTGTTATAAGAGTCTGCTGCATGATAAAGATCGAGACTTTTTCGATAAAGATCGAAACTTTTTTTATGTTACCTTGAGGTATATATCGAGGGCACAATAGATTTCGTCGTGAGATTCGCGGGCGGAGTCCGGTATGGCTGTGATGAGAGCAAGAAACTTCGAAGGTTTCAGGCATGGATCAGGTGCTACTTCAGCAATGTACAGATCAATCAAACCCGAGACCTTCTTCAACCGATCTGTCTGCTGTTGAAATCCTCCCGCGGAACTTTCTAGAAATGCCTTCACGAACCTAAGAACGAGATTCACGTCATACAAGTAATTCGACCTGTAAGGAGATGCAATGAGAAGATTATCCAGCGTCGCTTGATCCAGCTGGTGACCGATCATATTCGCCAGCTTGTTCATGCTGCTTTTACTAATGTTCAATCCGAGGGCAATGCGGAGAACCCTGAATAGGCTCTTGCAAGATGCACAGTTTCGATCTAGGACGTAAAGGGTATCGATGGCAGTTTCTAGAATCTTGCGTTTCTCCTCTGACGTGACAGAACAGAACTTCGACTTTTGGTAATGAAACAAGAACCTACTTATGATGAGGTGATCGAGTTTACGGGAAAGCATCAGCTTCATCAGAGTTTCAAATAGGTCGGGACCTAAAACCAGAAGCTCGTCGAACCACCATGTTCCACGAATGGAGCTGTTCTTGAAACTCTCTGTGCTTTTACTGTCACAGGAAAACCGATACAGGCTGCTGTCTGGAGAACAAGCAGAAGTGGTAGAGGGACTTGCTGCTTCGGTCGTCAAATTCAGTTTCTCGACGAGAGATTCCATGAACTTGGCAGCTAAAGATTCGATTTCTGGTGATGTTTCTAGATCTTGACACTGCCTCAGAGCGGCTAGAAGCTCCGGCCATGTCCAGTCCTGCGTTTCTTCCATTGATTTTTCTGTCAGTTTCAACAAGCTGGGGACTTCCATGAACTTAGCAGCACAATGCAAGTTGACAGCGTTGGACGGTGTAACGCTGAATTGGCCATTGTTGTAGCAGAATCTCGAGACAAGCTCGAAAATTTCTGCGCCACCGGGAAACTCGTTGAACACCACCTTGAGATTTCTTTCAGAACAGTTGGATTTCCCCAGCAATTTCATGAACTTTCCAGAATACGCACCGATGATGTCCTGGAGTTATTTTCAGACAGGCAGCACTTATAAAAGAATGATAGAGCCAGAAGAAAATGCATGATTTCAGACAAAACAAGAAGTGACGACGAATAGACAAAGATTTAGACGTTCTTGAGGAACCCTCGAAGCAAAACCTTAACCTTTTTCGGTTTCTCGAAACGAACGTGTCACATCTGATTAGTTGTAATCAAATAGCAAACAACATTTGATGGGTGCATGATAAAGCTCTGAATCTACCGCAAGAAAGGAGAACAGCGCATAACCATAACCATAACCATAACCAGAGGAGTGGGAAAAAGAAAAAAGAAAAGTAAAAGAATGATGAACAATCATTAAAAGACAAACGAAACGTCATATCATAAGGAAATGTCATATCATCAAACAGGTAATGAATGGTTTCAGAAGGGCGACACCTTAACCTCTTCCTTTATTTGCTATGATCAGTGTCATGAAGTATATATATGGATATATACGTACACACACACACACGAAACGTATGTACATGAGTAATAATCAACCAACGCGTGAGAGTTGAAATTTGTGCATGAGCTGCAAAATATTAGAAGAACACAACAGAAACCCAGATAAGAAAACTCGAAATTCACGTTGGGAAACGGTTTCAAGCATCGATTTTGAGCCTAATCTAAGAGTGTGATGCATGTAGATACATGGAAAATAGGGAGACCAGAAGGCAAAAGACTTACCTTATTGAGAAAGATAGTTTCTTCTCCATTGATATAGACCTCAAGATCAGAACAAGCTTCCATTGCCAAAGGGGGAATAAGTAAAAAAACAAAACAAAACTATCCAGAAAACACCCCCCGGAAACAAGATTCTCTCTCGGTTTTGTCAAAGAAAACGAGAAGAAATTAAAGAGGGTTTTAGAGAAGAAATGTGGAGGACACCAACAGCAGAGAAGAGGGGTTGATATATTCTTGTAAGAAGAAGAAGACAAACAGTAAAATAGGGTCCACGTTTTTGTTGGTTTGGACAGACTTTGGACTGTCTGAAATTAGAATTCTGTAAAAAAAAAAAAAGGGTCTGTGAAATCAGTTGATGAAGCGCCAAAGAAGATGGTTGGAATGTTTGCCCGAGTGTTTATAGGGACAACACGAAGAGGATGAAGCTCAAAGGAAAAACAAAAATGGAGAATTTTGCAGAGGAAAAGAGGCAAAAGGAGAGAGAAGAAGCGACAAAGGCGTGTCGAGAAGTCATCTTGTGTCATGTCATGAAAAACGAGAGAGTGAGAGACTTCTGTGCTGACTCCCTGACAGTCTTGCTAAAAAAAACAAGGAATAAAAAATGCTTTCTTTTTAATTTTTTATTTTCAGTACCTAAAAAAGCTTTTAATAGTTTAAATTATTCTACAATATTTTTTTGTGAATTTTGTTAAAATAGATTTATCAAAATATTAGGATGTCAATTTGGGTTCCAAATCCTATCCTAACCCATCTAAAAAATATGGGGTTCTACACTTAAAAATATAAATCCTAAAAGTTTTAAAAAAAAATCAGATTTATGTTTTTTCAAAAAGAAATTCAAAAGCATATAAAATATGATATTTATATATATATATATATTAAAGGGTTCGGTCCGAATTCGATCCGAGTTTGAGTTATATAAAATCGAGTTTCGGATTTGGTTTTTTAGGTGTAAAAATTTTAGATCAACTCGAATCTCGCCTTAAAAATTTCGGACTGAAAACGAGATTGGATTAGATTGGATCGGATCGATCCGATTAACACTTTACAGTATAAAATATCATTGAAACCAATAAAAATCAATTATTCTTTCTGGTCTTTGATAGATTCAAATGTTTTCGAATAATGGAGTTTAATGTGGGAGGATGCTCGGGATCCACATATACCCAAAGTTAGCATTTTTCTAAATCCAAGATTTGTGAAGACTAAGACAAATCCGGTTTCCTTCAAAAAAAAAAAAACAAGTACCTGACCGTGCGTGCCCACCTATATTGCCTAACCCTAAAATTGTGGGCCCGACTGCTGTACACATATATAATATGAGCGTTATACACGTATATATCACCGAGGGTAAAGCTCGGTCCGACCCAATGTATGGACACGTTGGATCAGAGAATAATGGGCTTTATTTTGTTAGCCTTAGGCCCAAATCAAGAGGGTCCAACCTTTTTAATATTAGGGCCGAGATATCTGTTTATTTACGGTCTTACCCTTCTACTCTGCCTAGTAGAGGGTGGTAAAACTAAAACGACAAACACCATAAATGTAATTAGTAATTATCGTTTTATTTTATCATTGAATTAGTAATTATTTTATCCTTATCCATCGAAATATATATTTTAAAATTTTCTTTGCACATGTTGCCAATATTACAATTTATCGCGAGTGATAATAATGCTAGGTGAAATATGTTTTACAATTCTATAGAATTCTCTGTGCAATTATATTTCCTTGACCATAACTTTCCAATAAAATAAAAGGGGGGAAAAATAACGAAAATAAATAAATACCAACACGAAGGCTTCGTCTCTCAGGCCGAAAACATAAACATAACGGGGCGAAGATATCAGCAAGAGAAACGAAGGTCGAAAAGAGAAGAACTCGCGGCGACAGAGAGTTTTTCCGGCGAGACTGGAAGACGGAGAGGGAGAGAGAGAGAGAGACAGAGAGTAGAGCTTCTAGGGTTTTGGTCTAGATTTTTCTTCTTCTACATCGATCTGTTCTTGTTCTTGGGAAAGTTCAATCCCCGCACGTTCATTCGGACTCGTCCCAGCTCTATTCGAGGGTTCATAATCCTTCGCGCTAGGTTTCGCAATTATCTTGGTAATTTCCATTCTCAATTTGTTGTTCCGCGTCTCTTCTTCTCGTTTTTCTGATCGATTGGTGCCGTAGGGTTTTGAATTCTTGGGTCAAACAGCTCGTATTTGGGACTACGCGTTTGGGGAAATCCCTACATTTTGTTTTGTTACTGATTGCGTTTTTTTTTTCTGTGGTGCAGGTTGTTGAATCCAGCCGGTGTGACCATACGAGGAGTTTGGAGGTGAGTTTCGAAGCATGAGCATCGACAGCCCAGGTGGAGGGGAGAATTAGGGTTGCGTAGAGTAGAGAGAAACAGGCGGTATTTCCATGGGCGATGGGGGTGTCGCATGCATGCCTTTGCAGCATATCATGGAGAAACTTCCAATTGCAGAGAAGACGCTTTGCGGAGGCAATAGTAGCACGAATACTGATACAACGAACAATGGCCTCGCATCCAAGTCAACTAAGACCCCTGAGTCTAAGCCAACCAAGAAGAAGAAGATTGTTAAAGTGATACGTAAAGTGGTCGTGAGGAAGCCCAAGCAGCCGAAACAACAGCAACAGCAACCGCCACAGCAGCCACTGCAACCACAGCTGCAGCCAGAGCAGAAGCAGCTGCAGCCGGTTCAGTCTCCAGCAGAATCTCAGCAGCAGAAAGGGCAGCAGCAGGAGCAGGACAAGAAAAGTCTGCTCGGACTTGAACTGGGAGGAAATAGTAGTAGCAGAGAATTGGAAAATAGTGGAGACTGCTGGCTTAAGGATGAAGTAGAAGAGGGTGAATTGGGTACAATAAAGTCTCCGGGGTATTTGGAGAATGGTGAAATTGCGCCTGAAAGGTCACCCCAGAGGGATGAGATAGAGAAGGGAGAGAATGTTGGCGAGAGTTGGAAGAAAGAAGAAACAGCTAATGAAGATTTCTTTTCCTCAAAATATCATAAAGGGAGGGATTTACCTGCGAATAATAACAGGAGAGGAGATAAAGAGAAGAGGGAATCCAGATCATGGAGAGATCCCTGCAATGAAATTGAGAAGGGAGAGTTCATTCCTGACAGATGGCATAAAGCCGATGCAGTAAGAGATGATCATAATTACATAAAACCTCGCAGGAATGAATTAGACAGAGAGAAGGGCTGGAAATATGATTACGAACGTACCTCACCCCCACCCAGTGGAAGGTTTTCTAATGAGGATATTTACCGGCGGAGGGAGTTCAAAAGCGGGCAGGATAGAACTTTGAGGATCAGTTCTAAAATTGTAGATGAAGAAAGCTTACATAAGAGTGAGTACAACAAGCCCAAGAACCATTCGAAAGAGCATTCTTCTTTGGCCAATAAACTGAAGCGACATGGAACTGATACGGACAGTAGTGAACGTAAATACTGCTATGGGGATAATGGAGATCATGGTAGCTCTAAAAGTAGAAAGCTTTCAGATGATACTCCCCGCCCTCTTCACTCAGACAACTATTCACGACATTTTGTGGAGAGATCTTACAGAGATTCCTCTTCCTCGGGAATGGACAAGTATCCTGATAGGAATCATGACTCATCTTTGCTTCCCAGGGTTGTTTATGACAGGCATGGACACAGCCCCGGACGATCTGATTGGTCGCCACATGGTCGGTCTAGGTACCATGAACTCAGGGATAGAAGTTCAGTCCGTCGGGAGAGATCACCATATAATCGAGAGAGATCACCTTACACTTACGAAAAGTTTTCATATGTTCGTAAAAGGTCTCCACATGAACGCAGCCGGCGCCATGATTATAGAAGAAGCCCAAGCTACTCCGAGTGGTCACCTCATGACCGTGCTAAGCCTAGTGATCACAGAGACCGTTCTCCTAACTATTTGGAAGATACCCAAATTGATCGGAATAAGCGTGATAGCCATAGAGAAGTAAGCAGAAAACGTGGAGGGAGGGAGAGGAAGGATTCTCAGAGTAGTAAGAAGGAACAAGAGAATAATCTCAGGCAAAAGGATTCTAATGAAAAAGTTTTGTCATCATCAACTAAAGAATTGCAGGACAAAAACAGCATTTACAATAAGAATCCTGGGGACAAGAAAAGTTCTATCTGTGATCCATCCCAAGAAATAGAAAACCCTAGTGTAAGCACAGACGGAAAAGAGTCTCTGCAAGCTGATGATTCCCATGTGGAAGAGTTGCCTTCAATGGAGGAAGATATGGACATATGTGATACGCCACCTCATATCCCCGTGGCTGATTCATCATCTGGAAAATGGTTTTATCTTGATTATTATGGCACAGAGCATGGGCCTGCAAAGTTATCCGAGCTTAAAGCACTTATGGAGCAGGGAATGATTTTCTCAGACCATATGATTAAACATTCAGACAGTAACAGGTGGGTAACCATTGAAAATGCAACTTCACCTGTAGTCTCAGTGAATTTTCCATCCATTGTGTCAGATGCAGTGACACAGCTTGTCAATCCTCCAGAAGCGCCTGGTAATCTATTAGAAGATGCTGCAGACACTGCCGGACCAGATTGTATAGACAAGGAGGTTGGTGCTTCTTTACCAACATCGGTTTCTGTGCCAGATGCTGATGGATCACTGATAGAGCCTCGAGAAGAATTTCAGATAGACAAGAGGGTTACAGGTCTCTTAGAGGGTTATACTATAATTCCTGGCAGAGAGCTTGAGACTCTTGGAGGTAATGTTGCCTTTCTTCCCTGGGCACTCTATTTACTTTGTCCGAAATTCTAGAATTTTTACTTCAATCCTTGCTGTATATCGTGAGTCTTCTTGCTGGACCTACCTTAAATTTTGTACTGTTGCAGAAGCTCTGCATGTTAAAGTCGAGCTCGAAGACACCGAACGATTTGTGACATCTGAAGGTGCGTACCTCTCTGGCATCACTTGGGCTTTTGCTAATGTGATTGTTTATCTGCACCTTTTTGGCCGATTCCCTTCTTTTCTTTTCTCTGTTTCCTCAATAAACATTTAATCAGAAGAAAAAAAAAGGAGTGCTGAGTGTTATTTTATGTGTTTATACCTATTGTTGATGGTTTTGTTAAATTTTGGTTCTGTGTGAAAAGTCGTGCTGTTAGCATGAAACAGATGCGAAAAAGTATGCATTGTTTGTTAATTGTTTAGGAATATACTTGAAAGTTTACTGGGAAAAGAATAGCTACTTTGAATGCTCATAGTTTCTTGTATACTATGCGCATATATGGCATGAAATTAATAAAATAAATGTTCCTCCATGGTAACGTGCAGATATCACCTGGCGCCTTTCTCAAATTGCAAATGAGGATATTTTCGTGGATGCTGAGTTGTCAAGACACTCTGCACTCAAGGCAGGGGAGGCTGAAGAAATCAAGTTAGACAATGATAATGGTTTCGACAATGAGATAGAAAGCTGGTTTTCAGGTCGTTGGTCTTGCAAAGGTGGGGACTGGATTAGAAATGAAGAAGCTTCTCAAGATAGACACTATAGAAAGAAAATTGTTCTCAATGATGGTTTCCCATTATGCCAGATGCAAAAGTCTTGTTACGAGGACCCTCGGTGCCATCATAAGGATTTGTATTATCCTTTAAGTAACTTTAGGCTTGAACTTCCTCCTTGGGCCTTTTCTAATGTGGATGAGAGGAATCAGGCAAGAGGAGTGAAGGCAAGTATGCTTTCGGTGGTCAGGCTAAATGCATTGGTGGTTAATGACCAAGGTTCATCTGTTTCTGATTCCCGCACAAAAGTTCGAGGGAGGGAGAAGTACCCTACAAGGTCTGCTCGACCATCCCCAGCAACTAGTGATTCGAAGAGAACATCAGCTGAAAGTCATTCTCATTCGAGAACTTGCAATGGCCAAGACTCCCAGGACTCTGGCACATCTATCACCCCTAAGGACCGTCTGTGTACAATTGATGATTTGCAATTGCATTTGGGTGATTGGTTCTACATTGATGGGACTGGGCATGAACAAGGACCTCTGTCATTTCCGGAGCTTCAGATCTTGGTGGATAGAGGTATCATACAGAATCGTAGTAGTGTTTTCAGAAAATCTGATAAGATCTGGGTCCCTGTTACTTCGATTTTAAGAACCCCTGAAACAACTGGCAAGAATCATGGAAAGAACCAAGCTTCATCTTTGAGTGAACAAAGCCTTGTCTCAGATTCAGAGGATGCAAAGCTATCTGATAAAGAAACAAGTTCAGGCTCGTTTCATAGTATGCATCCTCAGTTCCTTGGTTATACGAGTGGAAAGCTCCACACATTGGTTATGAAAACGTTTAAGAGCCGGGAGTTTGCTGCTGCAATAAATGAAGTTTTAGATCCTTGGATCAATGCAAGACAGCCAAAGAAAGAGAGCGAAAAGTACATGTATCAATCTTCAGGTATTACGACATTCTAGTCTTTCTCTCTTCTTTCTGGCCTCGGTTTCTAGACTTTTTGGTCTATAATCACATCTCTCTATCTTCTTTCCGTATCGGTTTGTTTTACAAATGTTCAAATTATGCCTTTGAATGCATTCGATAATGTTTTCTCCTGTCTTTTGTTTTTGGTGTATAATCCACAGAAGTTGATTTACGTTATGCTAAAAGACCTCGGTTGATGGCTGATGAGAGTGAACAAGATTCTGAAGGGGAAGATGCACAGATCTTTCAGGAGGAAACGACGTTTGAGGATTTATATGGAGATGCTATCTTCCCTGTGGAAGAAAATGTATCTGTTGATACCGAGGGGGTTACTTGGGGTCGGTTGGCTGGTCCTGCATTACTGCGGGTTTTTCATTTCTTGAGATCTGATGTAGCATCCTTTGCACGAGCTTCCCTCACTTGTAAACACTGGAAGGTTGCTGCAAATTTCTACAAGAATATATCAAGACGGGTAGATTTATCTTCTTTGGGTCCCAACTGCACTGATTCAAAGCTCTGGAGCATCATGGTTAGCTTTTTACGATTATTCTTTACAGGCTTCAGAGATTTAGAGATTTCACATTATCTGACTCGACATTTTCTTGCAGAACACTTATAACAAAGACAAGATACGTTCTATAGCTCTGGTCGGTTGTACAAATGTGGCCGCTGCCATGCTCAAGGAAATTCTCCGTGTATTTCCGTGTGTGTCTTCCGTAGACATCACAGGCTGCTCGCAGTTTGCGGATTTAACACTCATCTATGAAAATATAAACTGGTTCAGAGGCCGATTTCCTCGTTCGGCCGGACCACGTTCCAGGATAAGGAGTCTGAAACAGGTTACTGATGCTGCTAAATCAAAGGGTTTAAGGGGTGATATGGATGATTTTGGTAACCTCAAGGATTACTTCGATAGAGTGGATAAGCGAGACTCAGCTAACCAGTTATTCCGGCGGAGCTTATACAAACGGTCGAAATTGTATGATGCGAGGAGATCTTCGGCCATAGTATCAAGGGACGCTCGTATCAGGCGATGGGCCATTAAAAAGTCTGAATATGGATACAAGCGAGTGGAGGAATTCCTTGCCTCAAGCCTAAGAGACGTCATGAAACTGAATACTTTTGATTTCTTTGTTCGGAAGGTGCTTTCACTAACTTACATCTGGTGAATATGTCGCTCTGCTAACTTTTTTTTTCAAGTCGTACCTTTAGTGTTTAATTTCAATATTTTATTTTGTCTGTAGGTTTCTCAAATCGAGGAAAAAATGAAGAATGGTTATTACATTAGTCATGGTTTGAGGTCTGTCAAGGAGGATATCAGTCGGATGTGCAGGGAAGCAATAAAGTATGATTTCTTACTTCTCTCTGTTGGGTGTGGACGTGTTGCTTGCTGGACACTATTATGCCGATAAGACTTCATATCTTGTTTGTGTTAATTATCGACTACATGTGCATAGGGATTATAGGCTACTGAGGTCATTTCTCGAGAATCAATTAGTGAAAGAATACTTTTCCCCTATCTGAATTAAAGCATTATATATTCCGCTGACAAAACACTCATCTATTTCTCACATTTTATTTTCAATTTTTTGGCTTCAGGCTGTGGGATGCAGTATCTTTAGCTTTCAATATCCTGTGTTGAATTTTCATCTTTATTAGTCAAGATAGTTGGGGATAACCTATGGTTTACCTCACTAATACTGAGTTATAATTGTTTAGCGGGTTTTATGATATTACCTTTGACCCAATATTTTATGGACGCAGAATAAAGAATCGAGGTGGTTCTAGAGACATGAATCGAGTCATTGCATTGTTTATTCAACTTGCCACACGTTTGGAGGAGGTATCCAAGGTTACCTCTTCATACGAAAGAGATGAGCTAATGAAGTCATGGCAAGATGGTTCCGGTTTCTCGTCAGCCTCTAAGTGCATCAAGAAGTTGAGCAAGGCAGCAATTGAGAAGAAGCATATGAGCAGGACTAATGGCACATCCGTTGTAAATAGCGGTTCTGAGTATGGAGAATATGCATCTGATCGAGAAATCAGAAGGCGTTTGTCTAAATTGAATCGCCAGTCCTTTGGTTCGGGAAGTGAAACATCTTCAGAACTGTCTGACGATGGCAAGAGTGACAGTGACAGCTCAACCTCAGCTACAGAAAGCGATTCAGATTTCCGTTCAGAATGCCGGTCTGGGGACTTAGGTGCAGATGGATACTTTACAGCGGATGAAACATTTGATTCTACAACTGATGAGCGCGAATGGGGTGCACGCATGACTAAAGCTAGTTTGGTGCCACCAGTGACTAGGAAATATGAAGTTATTGACAAGTATGTCGTTGTTGCGGATGAGGAAGAGGTCCAACGAAAGATGAGGGTATCTCTGCCGGAGGACTATGAAGAGAAGCTCAATGCCCAAAGAAATGGCGCTGAAGAGTTAGATATGGAACTGCCTGAAGTGAAGGAGTATAAACCGAGAAAGCTTCTTGGTGATGAAGTTATAGAACAAGAGGTTTATGGAATCGATCCTTATACACATAATCTTTTACTTGACTCGATGCCCAAGGAATTGGATTGGTCACTGCAGGATAAACATTCATTTATAGAAGATGTAGTACTATGTTCCCTGAACAAGCAAGTAAGGCATCTCACTGGATCTGGGAGCACTCCGATGGTTTACCCTTTAAAGCCTGTGATCGAAGACATAAAAGAGAATGCTCGTGAAGAGTGTGATATACAGACAATGAGGATGTGCCATGCCATCTTGAAGGCAATAGAAAATCGTCCTGATGATAAATATGTCGCTTATCGAAAGGTATATATACAGCTTTCCCATTCTTTCATATGGATAATATTATTCTGTTTCATGCTTCTTTTCGCTGGTCCTTTCTTTTCCTTTTTTAATTTTATCTTCTCGGTTTTCCAAATAGGGCCTTGGTGTTGTCTGCAACAAACAAGGTGGCTTTGGAGAAGAAGATTTTGTTGTAGAGTTCCTTGGAGAGGTACAACAAACATTTATTTTGGACGAATTCACTAACCGTTCTGTGCTTAGATTAGTATCCAAAAGTTATTATTTTTCTAGGATGGTTAAGATTGAAACTTGCTTTTAAACATTGACGTTGACAAGATTCGGTTATTGTAGGTTTATCCTGTTTGGAAATGGTTCGAGAAGCAAGACGGGATCCGTTCCTTGCAAGAAAACAAAACAGACCCTGCTCCAGAGTTCTACAATATATATCTTGAGAGGCCAAAGGTACGGAGACATTTTTTTTTTCGAGTTCCTTGTAATTTTGTATTAAACCCACTGAAAATAACATTTTCATTTAAACATGTGGTGGCGTTGCTTGGCAGGGTGATGCCGATGGTTATGATTTAGTTGTCGTTGATGCCATGCACAAGGCAAACTATGCTAGCCGAATATGTCACTCGTGCCGACCTAACTGTGAAGCTAAGTATGTCGAAATCTTTCTCTCATTCGTAACTCATTATTTCTTCCAATATCTTAGATTAAAGTTGCAGAATTGAATAACACCTGTGATACATGCATTTCATATATGTACATGCGTCTGTGTGTGTATATATGTGTGTGTGTGAATGGTATATCCTTATAAGTTATAACGGTCACAAAGATGTATACTGTGTATCAACTTTTTCTTATATACTTGCCAAGTATTGGCGTCAACGTGAATTAGTAAATTCTCCTCCTCACACTAGGCAGATATTCTGACCATATAAATCAGAGGACTTCTTATATAAATCTCTTCTTGTCCAATACATTTGTAAATGGTTCGCTGATTTTTTTACAGGGTTACAGCAGTGGACGGGCACTACCAGATTGGTATATATTCTGTGCGCACAATTCAATATGGCGAGGAGATAACATTTGATTATAATTCTGTAACGGAGGTCCGTTCCCCTATTTCCCTCATCATCTCGTTGTCAAGTCCAACTCTGGAGTAGCTTTATTTCCTTAGCTTGAATTGAATGTCGTCTTTTCTATTCATCCCTGTGGAAAAATCTACAATTATCTAAATATTGACGATGTTGTATGTGACAGAGTAAGGAAGAGTACGAGGCATCTGTTTGCTTGTGCGGTAGCCAAGTATGCCGAGGCAGCTACTTAAATCTTACTGGCGAAGGGGCGTTTCAAAAGGTATTTTTTGCGAACAGGTTTTCTACATTTTGATGGATGGATTTTACAGGGCCCCCGTTGCATTTGCATGTAGGGTGGCCATTTTGGGTTTCGGTTCTGGTTCGATTCGGCCATATATATTTGGGTTCGGTTATTTTGGTTTTAGAAAAACTATAACCATTCGGTTTTTATATTAAGTTGGTTCGGATATGGTGTTGTTTTATTCGGTTATTAATCAAATTGGCCTCCTCTTTTCAGTAATTAGCTGTTTGGTACATTTATTCTGCTCATACTCTGTAACATCAATATAACTCTCGGAATTATGGGGTTTACAGGTTTTGAAGGAATGGCATGGTGTGCTAGATCGGCATCAACTTATGCTGCAAGCTTGCATGCTGAATTCAGTTTCAGAAGAAGATTATCTCGAGTTGGGAAGAGCTGGTCTCGGAAGTTGTTTACTTGGTGGGTTGCCGGATTGGGTGGTCGCTTATTCTGCTCGTCTCGTGAGATTCATCAATTTCGAGAGGACGAAGCTTCCCGAGGAAATTCTAAAGCACAATCTTGAAGAGAAAAGGAAATACTTCTCAGATATATGTCTCGACGTTGAGAAAAGCGATGCCGAGGTTCAGGTGAGATTATTGCTCTTTCTTTCTTTCCTTCCTTCTCTCCGTGTTTTCTGTTTGGTTGCTCGTATCTACATGCAGATGGACAACTCTGTATTAGATCCGAGATGTAGTTGAAATTGTTTTATATTTTACTTTCCTTCGATAGATGTGTGCTCATATCTGTCACTTTGAATGAGACAGGCCGAGGGTGTGTACAATCAGAGGCTTCAGAATCTGGCTGTCACGCTCGACAAGGTGACTTCTGTCTTTCTACTAAAAAAGTTCCATACGCTTTCTGCTACATTATTCGTATAAGCACCCGAAAAAGTATTTTTTAAGCAAATGGAGCGTATATTTACCAGTGTCGTCATATCCAGGTAAGATATGTTATGAGATGTGTGTATGGGGACCCGAAGAACGCGCCTCCTCCATTGGAGAGGCTCACTCCCGAGGAAGCCAGCCTCTTTTTATGGAGCGGGGAGGGCTCCTTAGTCGATGAGCTTCTTCAATGTATGTCATCTCAAGTAGAGGAAGATGCCCTAAACGATCTGAGATCCAAGATTCGTGCCCACGATCCATCTGGATCCACTAATATCCTCGAGGAGCTCCATAGATCATTACTATGGTGAGTAGAATCGTACATAAAACCTTAGGATCTTGTGAAGAAATATTCTTAGATAAAATTTCTGTTCCTTGAAGGTTGAGAGACGAGATCCGCAATCTCCCATGTACATACAAGTGTCGGAACGACGCTGCAGCTGATTTAATTCACATATATGCTTATACAAAGTGTTTTTTCCGGGTTCGGGTAAGTTTTCGACACAATTCTTTGATCACAAAAAGCACAAATCTCCATTGAATTTCACCTAATATTATGTTTTTCTTCTCCCCATTAGGAATACAAGTCCTTCACTTCACCTCCCGTACATATTAGTCCACTAGATTTGGGACCAAAGTATGCTAACAAGTTAGGTGCGAGCATAAAGGAGTACTGTAAGACATATAGGGAGAACTATTGTCTAGGGCAGCTGATTTTTTGGTATAACCAGACAAATACTGATCCAGATCTCACTTTGGTTAGAGCAACCAGAGGTTGCTTGTCCTTACCCGACGTTGCGTCTTTCTATGCCGACAAGGTTCAAATGCCGTCGAAACATCGTGTTTATGGCCCAAAGACCGTGAAATCAATGGTTTCTCTGATGGTAAGTTACTTCTCAGTCTCACTGTCTGAGTGAGTTGAGTTAGTTCTTTAGACTAGGGGTGGGTATTTCGGTTTTTGGTTCTTTCGGTTTTCAGAAAAACCTATATCCATTCAGGTTTTCCATTAGATTCGGTTCGTATTCGATTTTTAATGAGAAACATGTTCGTTTTCTAAAGAAATTTGTGAGTTTCGGTTATTTTTGTCCAATGGCATTTAGTTTTTAAAAAATCATAACCATTCGGTTTTATCGGATTTGGTTTGGTTCGGTTATGACTACGTGTTATTTGGTTGGGATTATGCATAACCGAGCCTAATGCTTACCCATAAGTGTTTCATCATATAGTTGCTACAACACCCTTAAAACACCAAATATTATATATTGTAATGTGCAGTGGAAGCAGCCTCAGAGAGCGTGGCCAAAAGACAAGATATGGACGTTCAAGAGCGAGCCGAAAGTATTCGGCAGCCCGATGTTTGACGCCGTAGTGAATAACTCGTCGTTAGATAGAGAAATGTTGCAGTGGCTAAGGCACAGACCGGCTGCCTTCCAGGCGATGTGGGATCGTTAAGCAGGAAGAAGGCGGCGACCGCCTCGTGCCAGAGGATTTTTCGGCTGCCTCTCTTGCCGACAATTCCCCGAAATCGTCTCTAAATTCGTCTCTGCCGCTGCCACCATTCTTGTGTATAGTACGCCATCTCTTTCTCTGTAACTTTGATATCAGTCAATCCACAAAAATAAAAATGTGGGATTAGGGGATTTGTTATTTCTGCTAGTTTTTAGGGGATTTGTTAATCTAATCTAATTCATTCCCTTCTTATACGTCTTCTTGTTTTCTGATTCACATTTTGAATATTGCATGGTGTTTACATAAAGCTTATGGCTTCCTCACACCATTTCCTTCATTGGAAACCCCAATGCGACCTGCAGGCATGGACATCGATCCCATATGGCAACCCTATCACCGTTAGGGTTTTGTTTTGGCTTCACCCTTCACATCCATTTCAATCTCATCTTCATCAGTCGCACCATTTTCATTACCATTGCACACTTTCTGAACAATCTTATCGCCCAACACTTCAGGATCAGGGTCCGAGTTGGCTTCCGCATCCGCCAGGTATTCAAAGGACGAAGGTTTCTTCTTCTACGTCTTCGTCTCGTCGCCGTCTTGTTCGCTGTGCCACTTGACCTCCCTGAGGATCTCCTGGGCATCACGGCGGAATCTTCGCGGGAGATGACCGGACGAATCGGTTGGATAATGAAACCAGAGACAGTGGGAGAAGAAGGCGTATCCACGATGTCGGGATCGGACAGCGCGGGCAGGGGAGAGTGGTTCAGCTCCTCCGTCCATGACATTGTTAACGGAGTCGCCCATCGCATCTTCAGAAGAGACAGGTGAAGGGTTCCGGAGGTGATGCCGCTTCAAACGAGCCATTATTGTCGAGTGACCGAGAAGGAATTAGGGTTTCAGTGTGGAGGGAAAACGTAAATGCTGAAGGAGACGAAATGCCGAAGGAAATCATTCCATTGACCAAAATGCCCTTACGCGCCCCATGACACGATCTGGGCTTCGTATTTCAAAGGGTAAGCCCAAATTCTCATAATGGGCTTTGTTTCATATATATATATATTAATCTTCCAATTAAATTCCACGTGGCGGGTAACCATAGCCTGTGGGGGCTGCATCCTCACTGATTATTGCTTTAATCTTACTCTTAATTACTGATTATTGTAATAACCATTTCTACCTTCTCCCATTAATATTCTTAATTTTCACTATCGTAACTTTTGAATTGCAATATTTTGTGGTGAGTGATGTATCTTTTCTCTCACTCAGAAAAATTTCAAAGAGTATTATTTTGGACTTTTGTCATTAAAATTAATATTTCGTGTGCAATGGAGTAAAAATAATTTGTTTGGCAACAAAGCATTTAGATGACTTGATAATTCAGATTTTTGTTTCTCACAATTTTTTTAAAACTTAAAATTTGAGTAGAAAATAGTTTACCTAAATTTTTGCGTCATAAATCCAAAAATAATGACCAATAAAATAAAAATGAAAAGAGTTGTAAGAGAAAATACATAAAAGAAAAATAAAATCACCAAATCCTAAATTTAAAAAAAAAAACATCAAAGTAGAACAAAAAATATCACAGCAGTGTTAGCTCAGATCTTCAGAACGACTAAATCTTCTCAGACGATGTTGTGTTATGTTGGAAAAGCCACAAAGATCTTCATCTCATCGTCACTGTTCTCGTCGTTGTCGGTCTCGTCGTCGGCTTCGGCTTCCTCCGCAGCCGCAATCACCACTGCTCCGGTGACTCCTGCTCCTCCTCCTCCGCCGCCGCTTCCTCTTCTCCCTTTTCAACACCTAATCCCACCACCGTGTTCCCCAACCCTAATCCGAACCCGAAACCGCCTGAGCTCGGGTCATCTCCACCGGGCCCACCGATCAGAAACCCTAGCCCAAATCCTCCGCCGATAGAAGCCGCTCCACCTCCGCCGGTGATGGGGACAGCAGAAGCTCCGCCGCCGGGCTCCGTCGTCAGTTCTCCCGGTCCTGTGCATGCCAAACTGCTCAACGACTAGACTTCCGTAATTCTTCTCGCTGTACTTTTTTGGTTCACTTACATACATTGTGTACTTTTTATTTGTTGGTAATTCAGATCATATATATATACACACACTATATATATGTATATACGTAGAATCAAGCGTATTGTAATGATCACATGTCATTGCCATGGGAAGTGAAGCATTCATCACCCATGTAACATTATAACATCATTCCAATTACACACACAGGAACGACACGAATTCACGGGTGAGTATCGACATGTTAGTGAGTATTTGAGCTGAGACAAGGTTCAAGAAGTGGGTCCATAAATGCAAAGAATCCCACGTAACTTCACTTTTAGGTTTGTTAAATAACATAAGCCTATGTCGTGCACAAGTGTCGGTGGTAATAATCTTAAATCATTGCTATTACTTTAAATGAAATTCACATCATTTGCATGTTATATATATTAATAGATTGACTAACCAAAATGTTCTTAACATGGATGAAGCTTTAAAAATCGATAATGAACATTTCCGAAGGCCGAGGAGGGATACATTCATTCAAGGGGCACTTCAGTAAAATCGCATATACTCTTCTGCTTCTTCCAGTCGGATCTCATGGTCAGTTCAGTAGCCGTTGCAGAGAGGGCAATCTGCAAACCGGACGGGCAAGGCAACTACATTAGGTTCAGGGTCTATAGAGATATCTTCTCTCTCCTGCTTGGAAAAGTTCTGTCTATATGCACGTGCTCAAAATGTTCGACGAAATGCTTGCGTGTTTTCCGCGTTCTCTAGGGCAAACTGGGTTTGCGTGCGAGATTACGAATCGCGTTTTCCAACAGCTCCCTGTTTACATCACACGCAATCCAGAAACCTTGGAGGATCACAGAGACAAACCCTACAGTTATATCTCCGTTCATTCAATTCGGTAGAGAAATTTAAAGAGCCTGACTTTGGGTTGCGTCCAGAAGCGGAGCTCTCAGAGCCGTTGGATAGGACTCAAGGGTCAAAAGGATGCCTTACCCTTCACAAAAGGCAAACGCGAACAGCTTTGCTCTAGGAGAGGATTTCTTTCGATGAAGCGAGATTCCTCCGTTTACATGCTCAAAACTTTACTCCACAAAACCTTTCCTTCCCATTTGCCTTTTTATGCTGATCTCTTCTTTTCTTTCGATTCCGGTTTATCTACGGAGTGGTGCCACAGCAGGTGCTCTTCACGGAAATGGACTGATGGGTTCTTCGTTTTTCGCAAACTCTTCAAACTTCTTGCCGACGGGCTTCCAGAACCCACATGCAGTGTTTTGCAAGCAGGAGGAGTTATACTTCTATCCTGCTTGGGCTTATGCACCTCCTTCAGTGATCTCAAAGATACCACTTTCGCTTCTGGAGGCATTCACCTGGACACCCCTGAGATCGGGAGGAACAGAGGTTTCAAAAGTTGATCACTAGATGCCAAGGGTAATCAGGAAAAAAAAAACACGACAGAAAGCTTGAAGGTTTTTACCCTGTTGCTGTTGCTGTTGCTGTTGCTGTTGTAGGGAGAAACAAAGCCATGATTGAGCAACTAAGCTCTGCATCTCCGGGATCAGAAGACTTCGAGCAGTTCAAAGGCATGTCTCCGGAAACAACATAGGTCTTATCGGAGAAGCCTGCCCTTCTCTCCTGGCTCCTTCTAGGTCAGACCATTTCCATAGTTATAACTGAAATTTTGGATTGAGGTTTTCTGACAGCAAAAGTACAAATCTTTTTAATATACTGGGATCAATGTACATTTGTAATCGAAAGGAACGTCTTTGATCGGGAAAGACTCTCCGGGATGTACTCTTCATGGGCGTATTCATTTGCTCAGGTAATCAATCGTATACCCTGTGGTTGGTTACTACTGGTCGGTCCAGAAGATGGTATGGACCTTGTACCGCGTTTTCCGCCCGCAGCTCATCTTCAACTATGTAGTCGGAATGAATATAGAAATAGTTGTCTGTCTACTTCATGTCGGCTCTGTTTTCTGGCTACATTATCCCTAAACCGGTAAACGCCATTGCCATGGGATGATCATTTCGGATTCGGCTATAAATCATATTCATTCGAGTTTTGTATTGATTTCAATTCGAAATTGATAACAACAATCTCCTTTCGATTTTAGAAATATGATATCCATTCTGTTTTTAAACATGATACAGTTATATGTAGGGGTGGCCCTTTATTAATACCTCTAATTCCGATATGCATCTCACTTTTACTGTGAGTTTACCAAGGGGGGCATCTGCGGTATCTATGTTTTCTTTCATGAATCAATAATACAGATTCCGATATCAAGTACGTAACGGATTCCAACTGTTCTGTGAATCCGAATCCAAAGGCTTTGAATAAGGCAAAACATGCGTGTTAAACAAGTATGTTACTACAACTTGGTACAAAGACAGAACACAATGTACACAAAAATTGTCTATTAGCTTCAAAGTCGATCGAATTACCAGATTTTCAGAGGGAGCTCGGAACATTTTTGATGGAGCCTCTGCATGAAGATCTCTTCCCGGCCGAAGAACCGAAAAACCCTCATAGGAGAGATCAAACCCCCGAAAGAAAATATTCTACGCTCCCCCTGTCTACACAGACGGTTTAGTTCTCTCCAATGGTAGTAGTAGAATCTGCAATCAAACTATGATCCCAATCCCGGAAGTTTTACAAAAGAACATATTTAACAAGAGCAAGAACACAAATACAAAGCAGAGAAACACACACAAGAGGGTGAAAACTATCAAACGTGTTGAAGTTATCAGGAAAAACCTCTGACTATAGGCGTCTCCTTATCATAGATAGTCACAAGAAGCCACAGGAGAAGGTAAATCGTCAAAACCTAGAGAGAAAAAGACCCATCAGTTATATTATATCATTTGTACAGCCCAAGATGTATGAGAGAAGTTTGAATTCTCCAAAAGTTTTCGTAAAAATTATGCAGGAAGTTGCGTGAAAATTGGCCGGGAGTGGAAAATCAGAAGCACTGGTGAGTTTACCTTTGGATTGGCCCCATTGAGTTCACGAGTTACAGTGACCCACGGGATCGGCTCAAGCTTTGTTTCGCTGATTCACAGAGGGGACTACACACTATGACAAATGCTAACTCTTCATAGCAATTATCTCATCCCCCATGCATTCCCTAACGTTAATGACCATCAATGCGTCATATGATGGTGAGATGTCGCAGCAGTGACGACGAGGAGACTTCATCTGCAGGGTTAGGATAAGAGAGAATCATGACGGGCTAGACAAATTAAACAGAGTAAATGTTCTCACAAGGAAAGGAGTAGAGATAAGTTACCTGTTCAATGTCAAGCTCCATTTTAGGAGACAGAATTCTGATCTGCTCTAGAAGCTTAACTTTAGCTCTACGGCAATTCCCTACAACATGGCGGGTATAGTTACTCCATGTTCCTCCAGACCCATCTGATCCAACGCCATCTAAGAAAAAGACCAGTGGTCTTTCACAAGGATCTCTAGGATAATCCCTCGTGTTGAACATATAGTTGCTTTGCACTCTTGATCCCCTCCTCCATGTAGTAAAGGTTTTCTGAAGGGAAAGGAGATCGGGAAGGAGTTTGTTGCCTTCATACACTTGAATTGCGTATCCCCAAACGACTGAAACGGTCAATGAATTGGCTTGGTCATAACACACACTTTGCTGCAAAATCCTTGTGGAATCTACATTGACTGCTTCCATAAGATGATCCATGGCTTCGGATCGGTTCAACTTAGGGAAAATCGGATCAACTGCATCCAAGTGATGAAGGGATACCAATGGAGATAGGGGGTGCGCACATAACAATCCAAATAGATTTCCTCTTATATCGATCTGAAAAAAAAAATATAGGACAGATAGTCATGCTTGAGATTAACCCTCTCGGTGTAGTAGCAGATATGGTAAGGCCTACATATATGAGAGAAATAGAATCTATGAAAATTGGTGCTATGCAAAAGATCAAGAATCCTAACACGAGGGCTCACGCTAATATACTCTCCCAATATCTACATAATTAAGCAAGTAATCTACTAAATTTTCATCAGAAAGTTTCTTCTTTAAGAATCATCTTTTTCCGACAAACGTGATCCACTGTTTTCACAATAATCATCTTTCTCGGTTAGTAATCCAGATCGCCTACTAGATATAGTAATAATACAAATGTTCAAAGGGCTCACACTGTATTACCTGATGGAACCCGGGTTCATGAGTTAATGCAACACCGAGCTCAGCCAAGCAGGAGAAGATCCTGGAATCGCTTCCATACATATGTGAATACCTCATCAAACAAGAGTCTAGAACCTTAGCGAGAACCCTAGCAAGCGAAGCGCTAATGGCGAATCCCCCTCCACCGAACGCCATGTCAAACGAATATCTCACGTTCTGATCATAGCTCTCCGAGTTACTCCCCACGTAATACCACTTACGGTAATCGTACTTCGACAGTACCCTCAACAGATTGTCCACGAAGAACAAGGTATCATCGTCTCCGAACACGAACCACCGCACATCCAGATCGCCGCGATCCACTGCCTCCTTCACGACACGAGCCACACGGATCGCCGACCGGAGACCGCCGGGAAAAGTGTACGGAAACCGGGAAACATCTTCGGAGACGATCACAGGAGGAAGACTCGGATCGGATTCAAATCCACCGCGATCGAGGAAAACCAGAGCGCGAGTGGATTTGGGAGAATACCAGAGGCGGACGTAAGAGCTACGGCGGAGCCAGGAGTCATGCGAAGCAGCGATCGAGAAAAGCAAGTGACGACGGCGCGTGGCGTACACGGACAGGGAGCGAGGGATAGACGGGAACTGAGCGGAACGGAGAGGGCCATAGAAAAAGAAGAAGAGGTAGATGACGGCGAAAACAGAGAGGAGCAGGAGAAGATACCGAACACGCACCGGATTGATCGCCGGAGATTTGGTCGGAGAGGGCATTTCCGGCGAGAGAGAAGAATCCGTTCTAGAGAGAGAGGGATCGAGACGCTTCTTACGTCTGGTGTGATTCATCTTGTTTCTAACCTCAGTGGAGCCGTCGCTTCAGTCTCTCGGAAAGTTTAATGGAATAAGGAATGAAAGTTGCCCAAATGTGAAAAGCGACGGCGAATTCACCGATCCGCGTAGATCCGCTGAACCGGAGAGAGGGTCTTGGCTTTGGGCCTTTAATGGGTCTGTATTTGGGCTAAATAGGCCCAAACTCAAATATTATAACGGGTCTGGGAATGGCGCCGCTCCAATTTAATTGGGCCTCCTGTGGGCCTACCCTTCACTATAACAGGCCAGAAATATTGATCTATAATTTTCTTCATCATGAATTGGGCTGAAACCCTGTTTCAAATGGGTCTAAAATTGATCTTTGATGAACTGAAATATTCATTCAAATGGGAATTATATCGGCGCAAATCTCAACTTTGAATAATAATAGTATTTATTTTGAGTTTTTGGCTTTTGATTTTAGAAATCAAAAAAAAAAAAAAAAGAGTTTTTAATTTGTTGTTGATTTAGTTTTCTTTAAGTGTCTATGTTGGGCTTGGCCCATGTCTTTGGTGAAGAAAGAGAAGACTCCGCTTCAAAGGGAGACTTTAGTCTCGCATGAAACCAAGCGGGATTTTTAATCCCAAATCAAAACGGTGAGTTTTGGGAAATAGGGTTAAATGAACCCTAATGCTATGCTTTAGTCTTCGACACATTTTTTTGGGCGTGTGGCTCGAGGAGAGTGAGCGAGAGGTGAGAACGGAGAAGACGAAGGAAGATCCCCGAGGCGGAGGTGCTTCCCGGCGACGGCGAAGCCCAGACCGGCGACGACTCGTCGAAGGCGAGGGAGGTAAGCGTCGGTAAAAGTCTCGTGTCCCTTCTCTTGTTGTTTCTCGGTGAGCCTCCGATCTTGGTGTGGAGGGCCACCGTGTCTCTTGTTCTCCGGTTGTTCCCGTTCCGATTCTAGTGGATTCGCCGGCACCGTCCGGCCGAGATGTAGGCCCGAACCTGGTTCACCGAGTCTCGATCTCAGACGCTCCACCTCGATGGATCTGGCCGCCGGCGCCACCCGCCTTCGTCTTTCACTGAAACACTTAACGAAACATCAAATCGTTCACACAGTCGAGATTCGAACCAAGAACCCTAACTTACCTCGCCTTTGCCGGCGATTCTCCCCGGATCGAGTAACCGGAGCTCTGATACCACTTTGTGAAGTGTGTATCGAGTCCTCACCACTTCTCTCCGACTCACGTCCGTGCAAGAAACGAAAGACACCGGAGACTTTTAACGAGTTCGGTTACCGAGTTAATTACCTACTGATCAGACCTAGACTAAGCTAGACTATCCCAAATTTGGCTAAACCAGACCTAAACAAGACCTAATTAGCACTTACAGACCTATATCAGACCTGTATCAGCCTATTTAAGCCTAACTAGACCTCCTACCCAACTAAACGTAGTCAAATCCAACCTATTCAGGCCTATACTGAACAGAAACAGGAATCTATGACCTACATTAGCTAAACCGAGATCTAAAACAGGTCTATCCTTAGTATATTTCACTAAACCAAGCCAAATTTGGATACTAGACCGATCTAACAGGTAAACCGATCACTACAGACCCTAATCTACCCTAAACCAGTCCACTATGCCCTAAACCAGACACCATCAGACCTAATTTGGACCATCTTAACCCTAAACCAGTTAGTTCTAGTCCTACTTATACACTCCGGACCCTAAAACTGACTCAATCTAGTCCTAAGACACAAAATCAGATCCTAACCCGACCAATACAAGCCCTAATCAGATAAATCAGATCCTAAACAGACCTCTACCAGCCTAAAACCAATCTGATCTTACCTAATACCGGACCCAATTGACCTAGACGGTTCAATTCTAGCCTAATTGGACGAACATACCCTCACATTAGACCTAAACCAGTCTAAACCGACCCTAATTAAACTCCAATCAGACCCTATTGGTCTAAACCGAACAATTCTAGCCCTTCCCAGACAAATCAGACCCTAACCGAGACTTAAACCAGCCTAAACTAGTCTGAATTTCCCTAAACCGGACTCAATTGACCTAAACCGGACTCAATAGTCCTAAACCGGACCTAGATTGACCTGAACCGATCTAAACCGGTCCAATTGACCCCAAACCGGACCTGAACCGGTCTGATTTGACCTAAACCGGTCAACTGTTGACCAAATTGGTCAACGAATTGACCGAACCGGAGTGAACTGGTCTGAACCGGCCGGAATCGGGTTTGAGCCGGACTGAACCGGCCGGAATCCGGTCTGAACCGACGGAACCGGGTCAAACCCGATC